GCCCTGAGCTTGAACGCGGGGGGAGGAGACGCACGGAGCTGGGGGCTTTGGAGGAGCAGAGGATGGATTTCCTGGTTGGAGCCACACCTCAGACTGAGAGAGCTCCTGAGAGCTGCGGCGCTTTTATTCCAACCTCTGCTGTCGCTGCTCTGCGGTGAGTCCGGGCCTCCTTTTTACTCCTCTTTGCTCCTTTTTACTCCTCTTTGCTCCTCTTTCTTCCTATCAGACTGAAGCAGAGTCGGGCCTGGTTCAGTCTGACGCGGGTTAAAACGGGAGACGTTCAGCTGGAGTTACCGGGTCGATGTGAACAAAGGTTCGTCTGTGAATGATTAACAGCTGAATGTGAGCTGAAGGCTTCTCGCTCTGCACACTTGTGTTTGACACGCAGGACTGGCTGACCTTTGCTCATTTCTTTGACCTTCATGTTTGACTGTGTTCAGGGTCAAAGTTCAGGTTTGGGAGGTCTGTCTTCGCTCTTTTTCTGACCTGACATATTAAGTGTAAGTTCTTACCTTAGCTTAACACAATGGCTGGAATCAGGGAGCCTAGCTTCATGAAGAGAAGGATGAAGTCAGATCTGCAGGTTTGTACAGGGACTCTGATGTGTCGGTGTGTGCGCGCAGACTCATAAACCTGCCAGTTTTCCTTCTTTAGTCCAAACTTCGCTCTGAGCTTCTCTCTCACTTATTTTCCCCGTGAGTGCTTTCAGCAAACATTGGCGTGTATGATCCGGTTGTTTCTGAGTGGAGTTTGGTCTGAAGAAAGGAGAAAGTGCACGTTTCAGACTGGAGAAAACAAAAGGTTTTAAGTGGAGTTTTATCTGAGGAACAAGGAAGTTGATGAAGAAGTGTGAAGGACAGGAATAACACGACGACCTAAAGAGTTCAGTTTTTCCGGAGGAACATGAATCAACACGACGTGCGTGTTTTGGACAGCAGGCATGAAATCGGCTGATTTCTGACTGGACTTTGGTGCAAAGGGCCAAATCTGCAGGTTTCAGATTGATTCTGCTCTTTGCAGCAGTGACATGCTTCACACATTTCTCAAATATAGACAGCTGCACAAAATGCACATCTATGGGAGAACTCTTCAGCTGAGTATGGAGGTTAAAGGTCAGAGGTCACAGGGTTCAGGGGACGGAAACTTTGATCCAAAAATATAGCTCCGCTCCACCATCTCCATGATGGAGTTTGTGGTTTGGCTCTGTCCTCCTGCCACTGCCTTCACGTGCATCGGGACGTTTCGGCGTGTCACACAGCTCAGGTAAAGCATCATCTCTGATCCAAACAGGCTGTGATGGTTCTGGGGTTAACCCTGACCCCGAGGCCGACCTTAGGCTGCGGCCCGTTGAATGCAGACGGGTCGGATCGAGCGGCAAGGATGCATCATCAGGTGACGGCAGCTCCCAGCGCTGAGGTCGTTCTGCTGCAGATGTTTGGGGACTGAATCGTGCTGACGTGTGAACACTTTGTACGCCTGAAGGTCTGTTTAAAACGGGCTCAGTAAATGTAGGGTGTTTCCTGCAGAGGAACAGGAAGTGATTCAGAGGCGCGGGGCAGCGTGTGGTGGCTGGACTCTGACCTCCGTCTCTGTTTGCGAGGACAGGAATGGGTGAACGGCTCAGAGCGCTATCCCGGTCGTCACAGTTGGTTTGTGGGCTCAGGAATGTGCAGTGATCAAATCTGGAGCTGTTTGTGTTTCACACTCGGGGCTGAAGAGGTTAACGTTCCCGTAACACTCCTCTGACATTACCGTGACTGCACGCTGACCTGACTTGTTCCTCTGGACGTGTTGGGACACCGACATCCTGCTCAGAGGTTGTGTAACTGACGGCCGGTCGATACGAGACCGAGTGTTTTTTACTAGCTCTTCTTGTTGTGTTTGAACTCTTCGTCACATTAAAGGTGGAACTGGCTGATAAGCATCAGCTGCTTACAGGGAGAGGAATGCAGCCTTGTCAGGCTGGCGATTAGTATCATTTATCACTTTCACTCGATAATCGCACACAGAGCATGTTTGATGTCTGAGATTTCAAATCAACCCAACTTTAGCTTCTAATGACGACTCTTTGTAGCTGCTGAAACCTCGGTGGGATGAACATCTGTAAGAAACATCTGGTGTGATGTGAAGCGACGGCTCACCACAGACGTGGCTGATGTGAATCTGGACACTTTTATTTTTCATTGAATGATTTAAAGTAGACACGGCAGAGTGGCTCACGTTTTGCTCTCCGGACGACGAAGACGCCGGTGTGGGAAGGTGGAGGACGAAGGCGCCGGTGTGAAGGTGGAGGACGAAGACGCTGGTGTGGGAAGGTGGAGGACGAAGGCGCCGGTGTGAAGGTGGAGGACGAAGGCGCCGGTGTG